ATTTTTTCAATTTTTTAAATTATTATTTTTTAACCCACGCGACTTTTAAAATAGTTTATTTTATTCAGGAGTTCATAATATCAAACATAAAAAATATCCTATTTAAACAGTAAATTGTGGTTTAAAATTATAAATATCAAATTGAAAGATTTGTAGAAATATAAGAATAAATTGTATTTACAATTATTGTTAATGCTTTCAGTTTTCATATTTGTTAGACAACTTATTGTTAGGATCAAGCATGTAACAGAATACTAGCTATCATTTGTTGATTATTCCTTTTCACTTGGGGAAAGTAGTTAATTTTTTTTTTCTCCCTCTGTTTTGCCTATAAAATGAAGCACTAATTATTGATGTAATAAAATGAAAAAAGAGTTTTTCCTACTCTCAAAAATCTTCAAATTTAATACTCACAAATAAGGTTATAACTTAATTTTATTTAGTATTCTTTAAGTCAGGATGAGAGTAAAATTTGAACTAAAATTATCAGCTTTACATTGAAAATGTTATGCCATCTAAAATATTTGACTTCTGCTGATAATTCAGTATGAAACAAAGTGATCAATAGCCAAAAAATAACTCCCGACAATCAGAAATGAGGCAAGCCCACTGCGAGCCGTCCTAACCCAAATGCCGCGGTACAAGAGGTTTCTATCTGCAGGGTGGATCCCTGTCAATTTCTCAAACCTCTTCCCTGGTACTTTCCATTTTAAAAGCCTTCTTTCCATGGAAATAAACTGCAATAAAACCCAAATACTTTCAGGTAATGACTCTTAACCGTTAATCATGCCATCATAAACTTCTACTAAAAAATCATTGCCTATGGGATCTTCACGCCAACTCCATTGACATAAGTGAAATTAGTAACAACCACAAGGCTGCAAGGGATTAAGCACGAACAGGAACAATTTTTTTTGTACTCAAAATTATATGAACTTTTCTTCTGGTAATAAAGATATAATAATAAGAACTTACAAACCTTGGGCAGCACTGCACACTCTGATCGACTTTTGGCAGTGTCGAAACTGTGAGATGCAGCAGCAGCAAGCGTACCCGAAACTCCAGCTGCAACACTAACAGCCAAAGGAGACAGTGGGCCTATTTCTTCATCGGACCTGAAGGATCAGACAAAGACGTTAAAAGCAAGATGTGAGTATCCAACTGTAGCTGATACATCAGACACTAAAATGTGGGTAGAGCAGCAGGTATCTGTAAGCTCAGCTGTCAACATAGCCACATACACAACCTTGTGAATGTCAACACTATTTATTAAAATGAGATGAAAGTCTTCAAACAGAACATTTTTAAACAAAATCGTTTTGGAAAAGGTGCCGCATGGGATTTAGGAAATAGTCTTGTCAATCAGTACTTAACAAGAGATAACAACTCAGTGATACACATCACCAGATATAAAAATATAGGTTTAACTCTATTTATTTTCTATAATCTTTGCTCAAGTTGTCCCTACTAATTGAAAATAGCTCCAACCAAATAGGAACTACAATAACAAGAGGATGTAATGAATGAATTTAATTTCATTAGAAGGAGCTTGAATCTTGTCCAATTAAAATCTTCTAACACTAGTCACCTAACAATATATGAATACCTGGGTGGAGGATCCATCCCAACTGCCTTCCAGTTCAGCATTGCTTGGTGGAGAAATTGCCAGCTGGAAAAGAATATGCCACAGAAGACAGAATCTCTTGCAATTCCTGAACGCAAGCCTCTCCATAATGCACCCCATCCTTCAAGAGAGATAATATCTGATGCTTTCCTAACATCGCAAACTGATGGCAGCCTACCAGACCCAGTCATCATCCATGGGTACTCTTGTAATGCACCAATCATATTGGGATGTTTGGCATTTAGGATCGATAGAAGACCATCAGAATGGTTTAATGCCTTCATATCAGGAGTATATCCATGTAGTAATCTTGTAACCACAGGGGCAACAATTCTCTTTTCTGTAATTGGGGTAGTGCTTGTAACACGAGAGGCAGAGTTCACCTGGCTACGAACTTTAAGGATTTCAAATGGAGAGCTTAATAATGATTCTGCCACACCAGCTGCCATTCCAGCCATAAAGGCCTCTGAAACATAAACATAGTTGTCTTCTCTGCCATCTGCCAAAAAGCAAATTGTAACCACCTTTAAATGTCCTGGGCGCACTGGATGCAATGTTTTGCAAAAATATACTAATCCTACTGAAGTTACAATCCCGTGAGCAAACTAATAAGAAGAAGCAAGAGGCACTAAACAACTTTGTCAATATTAAGAGGATAGTGACAGACAATAATTAGTAATCTCTGGTCCCAGAAGGCAACACCTTTTTAGTAATATTGGACTTGAAATTCATTGTTGCAACAGCATAAGCTTTCTATTTAGCCTTCTCGTTGAGGAAAGTCACTAGCCTATTCTTTTTTTGTTAGGGAGTCAGGAAAACACCCATCACCTTATAACATCCGAGATGTAGGCTAGGAAAATGTGTTTAAAGTTCTTAAATCTTAAGTAGGAATTAGGTTTCTTTCTGAGGAATTGAAGCCAGGGACTGAGTGGTTCAAGCATGAAAATTTATTATCTTAATCTACATGTAATGGATATGCCAACCATTAAGCAAAAAGAATAAGATGGGAATTGAAAACAATGAAATATAACCGCGCACCAAGCATACAAACACTGTAACACCATAGACGAGAAGAAGTAAGTTGTAGTGTGTAAACTTAGTTAATCAGTTAGCTAGTTAGAAATTAGTTGTAAATTAGTTGTTAACTGTTAGTGCAGCTCAGCAGACTAGATTTTTTCATATCATTGTTGTAACCGGATATAAATGAAACGTTAGTAAATGAAGAGAAAGAAGATCAGTAGCTCATTCTTCATTTTTGAGCTATTCTCTCAAATTATTTTCTCCTAGATTGAAAGTGTTGATAGTGAATAAGACCCTAAGCCTATACGGTCAAAGATATGCAAAATGAAGAGAAATACCTTTATAAAATGCTGACAAAATTTCATAGACCCCAAAGCGAGAACCAAGGCCCAGAATTCTTCCATAAGTTAACCACCCAAGTCCAGAGTAGAGACCTGAAGTATTGAGAACCAGCAAATAGTTTACAAGAGTTGTTGGCACGTAATCTTACGGAAAACCATGAAGTTCGATCAAAGACAAAGCAGAAAAACATAAAGAAAAATGAAGAAAAACAAATCCTCCAAAAGAATAACTTAAACCAGATTGGCAAGAGCGAGACATGAGAGAGATATCAAGAGGGACTGACCGGAATTGCCAGACAAATTTTGCACTCTGTTTAAGAGTTGAGTTGCTGTTAATTGCTTACTGGGTCCTGAACCAACCTGGATTCCGCATCAAGAAGCGACAACACGAACAGATTGCTAATGAAATTACTGGCAAAGTACTCACTGGGTTTGGCTATTATACATGGTACAGAGTCTACAGACACAAGAAGAAAGATGAGAGGGAAGGAGAAGTCACCTGGATAAGTGTTTTGATGGTGTCAAGAGGATAGGTAAGAGCAGTGGCAAGAGTGACTGAAGCAGAGGCAGCAATTGCATGGGTCGCGAACAGATGATTCTGTAACAATTCATTCATCTTTTAATGGAAGAATAAGAAATCAAAGCAAGCGTTAAGTTTCCACGCAGTAAACAGCAGAAGCAAGAGGCGGATTAAATGAGTAAATTGTGGAAATTGTTAATGTACTACAACTATTTGACAAAATGCCTCAATCAAAAAGTAGAAGAGGGAAAAAGAGGTTTTTTTTGTCTCCAGAACCTGTAGCTGCTACGGGTTTTTTTCTTTTTCTTTTTTTTTTAATGTAAAATTTTATTTGGATATATATTATTATTATGTACATATGAATAAAATAAAATGATACCAACACATATCACGCAGGCTGAATGTACAGTTGAAATGTGAGTTCAGCTGTTGCGTCAATTGTCCAGGTGGTCGAAAATAATGCGTTCTACAAATTAATTGAATTTTTTCTTTCCTAAATTTTTCCAATTATATAATAATTTTAATCACGTATCTTTTTTCTGTTTGAAACACTAAATAAGTTAGTATTTAATTTAATAAAATTATTAACTGATTAATTTAATATAAATAATAAAATATCAATAATTTTTTTAATAATACGCTCTCAAAATTATGTTGCTTCTAAATATGTATGGTATGATTTTTAATTAGTCATCAACTCACCAATGTATTTGTTTTTCTCTTCCTTTTAATAGATGAATTATATAAAATTTATAGACAAAATATTAACATTCATGATATTACGAGTTAGAAAACTATCTTTACAACAACTATATAGACCTTTACGTAAAAATTGCAACAAATTTATGTATGATAATGGTTCGGATGTTTAGTATCTAAGTACTTATGAGATATTCAAGATGAACATTGAGATTCAGATAATAGGCAAATAAAGTAGACACGTTGAATCATAACATAACGTGACTAGATTTTCTTGTATGAGTTGCAGGGATCCTTTTATAGACTAGGTTTGATGGCATGATGAAATTGTCCGATAGTGCTTGGATTGTTGGTTTATATGCAATATTAGAATAGTACCTCCCCTCCAATTATTATGTTTCACAAGGTTGTTAAAAGGTTTACAACTAGTTTGGAAAAATAGTTTTCGTAATATCATTTTTTGAGTAAATTTTTTACATCTTTATCAATATTTAAAAAGATTCAAGCATATTAAAATCATAATAAAGACAGATAGATAAACTCATGAAATTTTTTAAATCGAAATTGAAATGTCAAATTTTTTCATATTTGTAAAGAAAGATAATGATCGTAGCAACCATCTTATTTCTTGGACTCATCTTGTTCCTAGAGAAACTATCAAACTTTTGAAGTTTAAGAATTTTCAAAATTTACTTTATCTAGAGAATTGTAATACGAAATGAACTAATATTTATTACGAATCACTAATTACACTTTTGTTGTATTTTCCATTTATTTAGCAAAATAATAATAATAAGGGGTTTGCCTTTGTTTTACTTGGCATCTTTTTTTTATGATCGACGCCTATGCCTTTAAATGCCATTATCTCTTTTCTCTTTTTTCTCTCTAATTTTCTAAAAGATCAAAACTAAATACAATACTATAAAATTTAAAAGAACGATGCAACATAAAATTTTAGACAACAATTGAACATTTTACTTTTTACTTTTTACTTTTTTTTTTTTGTTTTCACTCTTAATCTTTACACTATAATTGTATTGTAACCAAGGATTTATTTGGTTCAATTTAAATTTACACAATAAAATCAATTAATATCTCCACCCATTTTTCTAATTTCTACGTTTTATTATATTATAGATCAATAAAAAAAATTTCTGTTAAAATTAACAGCTCAGTCACAAAACTACTAGTTTAAAAGAGGAAGAAAATGGAATGAGAATTTTGGGATGCCATGCCATTTATCATTGAAATAAAAAGATAAAAAAGGTGAAATTTAAAATATAAGGAAGAAGCAAAATTAGAAGTATTCTACCGAATAGACTGACCTGTAAATTGATTCATTAAATTTTGCATTTATAAGAACATTGTCTTTTAAACGTTAAAAGAATTTTCCATTCAAAATTAATCACTGTACTCAAAAATACAAAACCAATTTAATATTACAATATAATTAAGACATGTTCGTCTCATATCACTTAAAAGAGCATAAAAATAATTAAAAATTTTAATTTTTCCATCTAAATAAAACAAATTGACTATTTCTACTAACTTTAATATTCAATTATTTTAATTTTTAAACTCTATCGAACTGTCATAAACAATAAACAAAACGAAAAATATAATTACTATCTTTATCAAAATTTTTACGGCATATCAAAATATTCTGAATATAAGTAATTTTATAGCTTCTGCTAACAAATAGTAAGAGAAAAAAGTTTTGGTAATATTTCAGATAATTCATAGACTTAAATTTAAATAATAACTTGTGCAGAGTAAAATCCCCACAATTTACTTCATTCCATTCTCTTACTTACCCTCAACAAAGCCTATAACGTGTTTGAAAATCATAGTATTTGAATAGCAAATCCAAGACCAAACCCCGAAAAAATAAGACCTAATTCCAATCAAGTTTGATTTTAGCATTTGCATCATAAAGAGATGCACAAACAGATCAAATTAGCATGCCTAATTCCAATCGTGATCAAAATGCATGATAGTAATAAAAATGCATATGCAGATAATCATAATCCTAAGTCTCAACCATCAAAATCTATCCTTACCCTTTGCCCAACATACATGAAATGCAGAGAGGTGTTGGTTCTTGAACTGAAATTTTATTTGATTGCTGACCTAAACAATGTTGTCATCCATCAATGAATCGATCCATACTCAAAAATCAAATCAGATTTGCATTGGTTTTTCTTTTTCAATTTATCAAATTATAAAAATTTGTAAATCATAATTGATGCAGTATTTATCAATCAGTCAGCATACCTTTATTTTTCTACTCATACAAAGGGAACAGCACTGGCAGATTATTAATTTCTTTTA